TTTATTATCCTGAGTCAAAAATTTATTTAATTGCAGTCAAGTTTCATTACATTCATTTACACTAAATATAACAAGGAATTGCTACAATTGACTACTGTTTTAATTGAAGAAATGTTATTGACTTATTCTTCCATATATAAATCAAATTTCATATATTAAATTCGCCACTAAATAAAATTAACAACGAATTTTATTATTTAACTATTAAATTTATCAATTGGTAATTTCTATCTTTTTAAATACTGATTTATTCATGAATGGAAAAGAAAAATGAATAAAATATTTTATATACTAATTTGGAATATCATTCCACCTACTTATTCTTTGTGATAATAAATTTGAATCTAATTTTAGATACATACAAAATTGACTTGAGTTGATTAATCACAACTATCCTTAAAAAAAGAGAGAGAAGGGGTATTAAATCAACTTTTCTTTAATGTATATTTCCTTTCCATCTATATAAAAAAGGTAAAATGTATTTAATAATACATACCCAAGAAAAAAGTGGATAATTTGACCAAATAAAAAACAGATTTGTAATTAAATCAGTCAAATTCAAGAAAAAGAAATGTCTACTTGGGAAATCCAATCATTTATGCCTCCATTTTAGTAGCTACTTTGTTTTAAGTCTAACAAAAACAAGTATGGTGTTTTAAATTATTTTTTACTATTTGTATCACTATGTATAAAAATATCAAATTTAATTTATATATATTGATAATAAAATTTTAATGATCTTGCAATTGTTTTATATAGATAAAGAAATTTACACACATTGATCACATAAAAAATATTTAAATAAATTGGTCACTAGTTACAAATATCAAATATCACTTTATCAGTCTGTAAAATATTACTTAACTAACTAGCTATCACAAATTAAAATTCCTCAAAAATATAAAATATACGTGAATAACTTACCTCCTAATTAATATTTTTTTTCTTATTAATAATATCATAATATAAATTTTAAACTTCAAAAGGTCTAGGTACATTCACATTCAACAATGCAATAAATTTCACTCCTTTACTACTACCATTAAGATAACAAAGAGAAAAGGAAATTAATTATTAATAGCTAGAGAGCTCCATTTTTACCCCTCTAATTCCTCCTTTAATTTAAACTAATTTTCTTCCAATGGAACTTGATCCATTTTTTATGTCCAACAACAACATGATGAAACAAGAAAATGATGATTTTTGCATAGACTCTAAAGATTATCTTCAAGATCTTGAGCACCTTGATCATAATTTTTCAAATACTTTCAACAATTTTTCTGAAAATTTTATGATTGATGATAACACCAATGGTACTTATCATGACCCCTTTGATCCATTTTCTAATATTCAGGATAATTTTTCTTCATTAGGGGATTTTAACTTTATTAATTATGAGGTTAATCCTTTTGATCAAGAAAATGGAGAGAGTAGTGGTAGCAAACTAGTCATGAAGAATAATTTTCATGTTGTTGATGGTGTAAATGTGCCTGATGATCAAAGTTCATGTGTCACTGGTGATATTCATCATAACAACTTATCTTCATCTATGAAGAAAAAGTTAGGTGGCAGTAGAGGTAGGCCGAAGAAGTCTAAATCGTCCAAAGGACAATGGACGATTGAAGAAGACCGGTAAGCAATCATATCTCGACTATTGAATTATATGATTATCTTATCAGAATGCATATATAATTTCAGTTGTCATAACTATTGAGTTATATGATCATCTCTTAAATAGTGCCTAGATTGTTACCCCCTTTTATTTTTGCGTTTCGCTTAGATTAATTTTCAAAGAAATTAATTGATATATTATTTTTTTTCAAATAGTAATATAATAGCTTTATATGTTTGTGAAGGCTTTTGATCCATTTGGTAGATAAATTTGGAGTGAGAAAATGGTCTCAAATTGCTCAAATGCTCAAAGGAAGAATAGGCAAGCAATGTAGGGAGAGGTGGCACAACCATCTCAGACCTGATATAAAAGTAAGTATTTAGTTTTTTTTCTTATTAATAATATTTTTTTTTGCAATTAATAATTTTTATCTTGCTTTTGTTTGGATCTTCTCTTAATGTTTTAAAATAATATTGTTTCATCTTTTTGTTAAATGCAATTTTATCTCCTTTTTCTTTCTTTGTGATTGTTGTCTCTATTAATGTGCCTGTGGTGGATTTTGTAAACAATTTTTCTATTGATTCAAGTTACATATAATGACCTTTTTTTTTATTTGTCTTACACCATGTGTGCATTTTTTTTTTAAAATCATATATTAAAAATCGATTTCTTTTGAATAAATTGAATATATTATTAGACGGTGATCTAAAATTTTGTGAGCTAATTATTTCAAGTGTTAGACGTTAGTTTAATATTTTATCCGTAAGGTTGAACAATAATGAGAAATAAATAAAAATCAAAATCTAATGTTTTATGGAAGGATGGTTTTTCAAAAGCTGCATTTGCACAACTATTAAAAATATAGACAAAATCTAAATGCTTAATGCATAAAACTGATGAATATTTTAACACTTGATTACCTTATGTGTTGACTGTCAGTACATAAAACTTACATTTTGTTCGTATTTGTGTCGTCCAGAAAGATTTTTGGACAGAGGAGGAAGATAGGATCTTAATCCAAGCTCATGGTGAAGTTGGAAATAAATGGGCAGAAATTGCAAAGAGACTTCCAGGAAGAACTGAGAATTCAATTAAAAATCATTGGAATGCAACAAAAAGAAGGCAATTTTCAAAAAGAAAATGTCGTACCAAATGGCCAAGACCTAGTTCCCTCCTCCAAAATTACATCAAAAGTTTGAATTTAGAAAAAGGAAGCACCAAAAAGAGCAATGACACAAATCCCAATGGTCGCGTTGATTTGATCAGGCGTGTAAATTATCCAGGAGGCTCAGGCTACACAGGCTCAATCCCTGAAAAAAAAAATGAAAATTTGGTCAACAGGCCTAATAAGTGTCACGCTAAGGTATCACCTAAGCCAGAAGCTATTGAATTTTGTCAAGGCAATAATAATATTGGTGATTTTGATTTGAGTGAAGTCCCAGAATTTACATTGGATGATAATTTTTTCATGGAAGAAATTAATATTCCTCATGTTGGTTCTTCATCTATTATGGTTAATGAGAATAATTATGAGAAATGCATGGGAATGGAGATTATGCCTTATTATGAAGTGCCAACATTGATGCAAGGTGAAGTCAACAAGGAGATTGATTTGATGGAGATGATTTCTAGAGTTTAATTAATTATATTATAATGTTTTAGAAGATTTATACATGTTTAAATATGAAGTATGAAAAAAAATAAGTGTACTAGTTAATTAATAGGGAGTGATAATGTTTCCTTGTGTTGTTTTCTGCTAATTCTACCAAATTTATGTAGTGAAAAAGACAAGTTAATATATTATACACTGTCTTATGTATTATTATTTGGAGAAAATGTTTTTCTAAAGAAACTTGTTATTTCTAATATTGACTAATTAATTAAGTATTAACAAAATTGAAAAAACATTTTCTTAAAAATATTTTTCTTTTTAACACACCCAAAAAGATTCTGATTATTGAACTTTTTGTGCTATTTCATGCATTAAGTAAACTTACCTATATATAAATTTAAATGATTATTTAACTCTTTTTTTCTTCACTAATTTAATTGTACGTGAATATCAAATTATATATAATAATGATTTTTTAAAAATAATGTTAATATTTTTAAACAGTGGATGTGAAATTTTTTTATATAACAACTACAAGTTGTCAAATCAACATTTGAAAAAAAAACTATAACTATTTATAATATAAAATCAAATATAAATAAGGTGATTTGACACTTTGTGGATTCGTCAAACAAGTTTTTGATCAAATATTTTTTTTTAACAATTTGAGGCTTTTCATAGCTTGAACACTAAGTTGTAGTTTGTACAATATAGAATTATATAACTTCTTATCAAGTAAACTTTGTTGCAAAAGTATATTTATGGTAATGAAAATTAGTCATATTAATTATGTAGATAGTCTTCTTGTTTGAAGTTGTGTTATCAGTATAATTTATCCACAAAAAATATTGTAATTGAATTGTTCATAACAATTCTCATGGTTTGCCTTGTTTTAAGAAGAAGAATAGTAGAAAACTTACAAAATTCGCCAACTACATTTATAGACAACAAATGACAATATGAAAGTATGTTTATCGTGCCTTATCAAATTAGTCACAACTCTTCAGATTACAACCATTTAAAAATATCATTACTCATCGAAAAAGTCATAACACTTAAAAAAAGTCCCCAACTTTTTTTTAAAAAAAGTCATTGCTTTTAATATAATATAGAACAAAATATTAAATTGAGTGCATTATAATAATTTAACGTTCAAGTCCACTAAAGTCATAAATAAAAATCAGAAAAAACTAAAGGTTCCACCGAGATTTGAACTCGGGTTACTGGATTCAGAGTCCAATGTCCTGACCACTAGACCATGGAACCCAATTTGTTATTTTTTTGGAACTAATGTAACAATTCAATTTTAAATGAAGCCAAACTTTTGGACATATTTATTGAAGTTTTACTTACTTATTAAGACTAAATTTCAAAAAAAAAAAAAAAAAATTAATTGAAGTACATTCAAAAAGTAGCTAATATACAAATCTACTTAAATTCCAAATTTGAAACATAATTTTCATACATCAAGAAGAACAAACTCAAATGATCAATCTATTGAAATAATAGCAAATCTAATAAATTCATTTGACATCGTTTTAATTTTATATGATTAAAATACGTGTAAAAATTAACTGGCACTCCATTCATGTGTGTTTGAATTCTCAAGTGCAATTGATTTTTTTCCCCAAAAAAATTTATTCTTAAAGTTTTGATACTCAAAATATTTAAAAAATAAATTTCATATATATAATAATAATATATTTTTAAATATTTAAATGAGGACTACCAATTGGTTACCCAGTGAAAATAGATAGGTATATAAATAATATAAAGCCCAGTAAGATATATTATCTCAAGCCCAAGTCCACAACAATACATCTTTTACTAACCCTAAAGCTTCACTACAAAACCCAATCTCTTCACACATCAAAGGGTTATTCAACGGCGTCAGTCTTCTCTGCTATTTCGGTTCCATTCTCCGCCGGCGACCATGGTAAGTGATATCCTGCTATGTATTTTGCTCTAGAAATTGCTATGGCTTAGGTGATTTATCGATATTTTATTACAATATGCTGAAACTGAAAGAGAAAAGTGAGCAGATCTTTACTAATCATTTCGTATAGAAGCATGCTGCTAGTTTAATTTTATATGACTCTATGTGTTTCATTGAATCTAGTAATGTTTTGATGTGTTATTGTTGGATTTATGAAGGTGAACGTTCCTAAAACGAAGAAGACATACTGCAAGTCCAAGGAGTGCAAGAAGCACACCTTGCATAAGGTGACGCAATACAAGAAGGGAAAAGATAGCTTAGCTGCTCAAGGAAAGCGTCGTTATGATCGCAAGCAGTCAGGTTACGGTGGACAGACAAAACCTGTCTTTCACAAAAAGGTGATAAACGTTCTCTAGCATACAACAACTTCCATGTTTCAATTCCAAGCTAGTACATATTGGCTATATAATTTAGAAGATCCATTTCTACTTGTATTGATCCAATAATCCCATTTTTAACTGTTGTAGCTAATTCTATAATTAAGTATACCTACCTTACCACCAATAATGACCGAACTAAAACTATAATTGAACTACATAATAGTAACCTGAGCTACACTGCATTAAATAATCATATACCTGTTTGGATAAAGCTGATCATTGTCACTGCAAAACTTTGGTTATAAATTAAGTCTAGGTACAAATTAATTTGTGTCTTGTGTGGTTGTAAGTTCTAAACTGTTTAGATAATATTTTTCTTATTGATATTATATTTTAGAATGCTACTATCTTTTAATTCAAAGAAATATGACATTCATTACATGAGGGATGTTTGTATGAAGATTTTGATACACTTGATTAAAAATAGCATTACTATAGTATTTTTTTTAATGTATAAGATATTTGCTAAAATTTGAATGGTGTCAAAACTCTAAATGGATTGTTGGTCTTAGTACATTTTGGTATAATGTGAGGATGTTTCTCTGTTTTTGAAGTATGCTGTGTTATAATGTTCACATATATATGCAGTAAAGTAATATTGTCCAGTTCGAGTTCTCTTCTTGATGCTTGAGATTTTGAAGTGATAGTCTACCAAATGATATGGATTTTGAGGCTTCCATCTCTTATTTTATATTAGTCTCCATATAATCAATTCTTATTCATTTATGATTTAAAGTGCATCGAGGCAAATGAGTTTGTGTTGGAGTTAATTTGTGGTTAAAAGATATTGACATAATCGTCTCACTTGTAGTGTTAAAAGCTCTAAAGACATTTATGTTATTAATTGTTTATCTTTAGTTTAAGTACTTGTATTCACATATAACTAACTCCTATTGATAAATAAATTAGCTTCAATATTTGCAAGGTGTTAGTTCAACATGTGGTGTTTAAATACTAATTCAAGCCACCTAAGCCAAATAGGCGATAGATTCCTCTAAATCCAATAATTAATTAACATTTTATAGTTAGTGACTTGATCTGTTTAAATTTAAATATGGAATTCATTTGATTCTTAAAGAAAGAGGGAGAGAATGGATCTCCAATTATTAAGCGTCGTAGTTGGTCTGTATGTGAGCATGTTTGACATTCAAGGCTGGTTTCTTTATCACTGATTTGTGTCTATCTTTCTTTCACCATTCCAAAACAGGCAAAGACCACAAAGAAGATTGTCTTGAGGTTGCAATGCCAAAGTTGCAAACATATGTCGCAACACCCAATCAAGGTTGTTTACTGATAAATCTCTACTCTGCAGTTGCATTTCCATTACTATTAAAAAAAATATTCATTGTTCTTGATGTTGTGCAGAGGTGCAAGCATTTTGAGATTGGCGGAGACAAGAAAGGAAAAGGAACATCTCTTTTTTAGATTGCTTGTGAAGCAGAATTTGATCTCTCTCTTCTGTTCTTTCACTGTTTGGATATTTTGTTATATTGAAGGTAGTTCAGTAGCTTCTGTTATCCAATTCATCATTATTACGTGTTCAATCAGATATATTATCAGGAGATGAAATGAATATTTCAAGTTTTTGATTTAACAAGTTTTGATTTTGTCTTGTTGATGCAATGATGCTTAAGCTATGGCAATAAAGTTCAACTGAACTGTCCTTGGCTGCATTAATTTGAACATTGGTGTCAATTTTGTTTATTTAACTTCTGAAAGCACACACAAGTCACTAGGGGATTGTTACATATGTTGCAAGATTTTTCCGGTTTTCCTCTCCTGTGCTTTCGATAACTTGGACATTGGTTTCACCCTTGTTCGTCTTCCACTTCATGCTTCTATCAGTTCTATTCTATATAATAGACTACGAAATTTGAAACTGCAACGCCAAATAAGCTTATGATTAGATGTAATTACGATGATGTGTTGGTAGCATTAGGTTTTCACGTCTTCCAAGTTGGAGACATCAATATCTAAACCTCCTAAAGGACTAGGGGATGTTTTCTTTAGCCTTGTTGCTATTAGAATTTGTTTGTCCATATTTTGTTGCCAAAAAAGTTGGAACTTTGGCTTTATAGTGTTCCTCCTCAATCAAGATTTATGCCGCGTTCACTTTAATCTTTCTCCATCTCCTGTAAACTTGAGCTGCAAGAAACAACTAAGTAGTGCTCATAGACGTACATGAATAGTGTCTCCTTTTGATCCAAATGGTAGCTTCATCGGGCTTTCACCCATTTATTCTATATCAAAAGTGAATATATTTATCGGAAGTTATACCATCACCTTAAGAAAAGGAAAAAAGGTGGGACTTAAGAGGAAAATTGTGTTACTTGTGAATGAAGCTTGACTGTCTTTTCAGCCCAAAACAAATAGGGCTTTGTGGGGGCATACCTAAGGATGTAGACTCTTCACCGACAGGAATCCACAATTTGAAACAAAGAAAAAAACAATATGCGTTTTCTCCATAGACATTATGGCGTCTACGCGTTACAATTTAACCCAACACTTTCTTTATAATTTCTCTTTTTCCATGTCACCGTTCAACTCCATAACACGTATGATTACTTTATTCAATACATTTCACAAATTTCTCTTTTTCCATGTCACCGTTCAAGTTCATAACACGTATTATTACTTTATTCAACACATTTCACAAATTTGTTCTTTAACCCTACTCATACCTAATAATTTAAATTCATGCGACAACACTTTTTAATTCCTTATGTTTGAATAGAATGATAATACGATGATGATAAGTGCATAAATTATAAAAGAAAATAAGTAGGATAATTTAATATTTGATCGAGCATTACAAGAAACTAATAAAAACTACTAAAAGAGAACACTTTTCTTGAGTCAATACAAACATCGTTGAGCTAATGATATATCTCGAAGACTTGCAATTTTAGCATCGTTTCAATTACCTAAATCTTTGCAAAGTGCAATGTTTTTTTTTTTAATAATTAACAAGTGTATACATTTTTGTGTTTATCAAGAAAACTCAAACACCAATCCAACACAGATAGGTGGGTCCTCACTTGCCACCTCCTTTCAATGCCATTTGAAAATTTAAAAGACCAAAAAAGACTACTCCTACGAACTATACAAGAAAAAGGTTAACATTTGTTGTGTGTCTTGTATCTTATTTGATAACTGTCACCCATTATATTGTATTGTATTGTTAGTTCAAATTTAAATATGACATTTGTTTAATTATTTATTATTATAGATAAAAAGAACTTAATTGTACTATAATTCTCATGTGAGTTTACCTTTCAAATTTTTAATATGTAACATTATATAATAATAAAAAATAATAAAAATCATCAAAATATTATATTTATTAAAATAATATAAGATACAATTCTCTAAACATAATTTCAGTATGATTTTATATTTGCATGGGCATATAGAGATTGTGACTATACAGTATACACCCTATTAGGCATTTAGCAAATCTTATTGGGATAATAAATAAAGAAACTTGTCCTCAAAGAACATCTTCCTTTTTTATTCTCTCTCTTCTCTTTTATCAGTTCTTTTTTATTTTTTTTAATCCTTAAAAAGTAAAGAAGCAAACCATTTCTTACACCCCACCCCCCATGCCTTTGTCTTTTCTTTGCTTACAATTAATTATTTTCCTCAATAATATCAATTTAAAATTGTTTATCTGATAATAAAACGTTCGTTTAATTAAGATGTCCTTTTGAAAATTCGGAACAAACGTACAAATTATACACTGAAAAGTTTGGAATCTCTACTTTACTTTCAAACATCAATGTTGGTCAATTTCTTACCACCTGTTTTGCATTTTCTGAGCACAACAATAACTGTACAAATATTCCTCTTATATACATTTTCCATGAGAAACTTGCTTTATACTGCATTTCACCTTTGCCCTTAGCTTCCTTTATCTACTTTTTACAGTACATAACATATTCCCCACACATCATATATCACAAACTCCACATTTACAAAATTTGGAGTTTCAATTCTTTTGTAAAAAAATAAAGAAATTACAATGAGTATTTTAACAAGAGCTCCAAAGAATTCTTGGCAGCCAGTGATGATTGCTGATACAACAATTCATAAGTACTGGCTTAATTGGAGGTTCTTACTATGTTGCATTTGGGTTTTAACATCAATGATTTTTGCAGCAATACTTGTAAAAAAGTATGAAGGTTCTCGAATTCGAAAAAATCGAAACATTGAAGCCCAAAAAACAGAGTCCTCTGGTTTATTGTATCAAGATGAAGTTTGGAGGCCATGTCTTAAAACTATTCACCCTGCTTGGCTTCTTGCATTTAGAGTTTTCGCCTTTTTGATTCTTCTGTTGTTGCTAATCTTAAATGTAACTGTTGATGGATGGGAGATTTTTTACTATTACACTCAGTAAGTAACGTTGTTATAGATAAGTCTGACTGTAGTTTTAAACGGTTTTAACATTTGATTTTTTGTTGTTGTTGTTGTGGAATAGGTGGACATTTACGCTGATTACTATTTATTTCGCGGTAAGTGAGAGTAAAATTCATGGTTTCGATAGGTAAATTTTTTCATGTCTAATTGTTATGATATATATATATATTTTTTTTTCATTATGTAGATTGGATCTGTTCTTTCGATGTATGGATGTTATAAGTATCACAATAAAATTGGTATCGATGGAACTGATATTGAGAGATTAGATACTGAGTATGATTCACAAAATTCAAAATATATGAGGGAAAATGCAGAAGCAGAACAGCCTTCTCGTCAAATTGCTGAGTTTTGGGAATATGTTTTTCAAATAATCTTTCAGGTATATCACGTTTCGATTCAATGAAATTTGAGATGTGAATTGAGAAGTAAACACCTTTCTTGTTGTATTAGATGAATGCAGGGGCTGTAACGCTTACGGATTGTGTTTTCTGGTTCATACTTGTTCCATATTTAACCATTAAAGGCTACAAGTTGAATTTTGTGAGTATGCTGCACTAGCTCAATGAGATTCTGCACATCACTTTTCGTTGTTTTGTTTCTCTAAATGTTATGTTATCTATGTTGCAGTGGATTATAAATATGCATTCAGTCAATGTTGTATTTCTACTTGGTGATACTGCTCTGAATTGTTTGGTAAGTTTCCATACTTTTATCGATACCAAATGTGGTCTTCGTAGATTTGATGTAGTTACTGATTCTCATTGTTATGCTATTTCAGCGGTTTCCTTGGTTTCGAATTGGATACTTCTTTCTGTGGACAGGAGTTTATGTTATTTTCCAGTGGGTTGTTCATGCCTGCATTTCAATCTGGTAATGATAATGCTAATACTTATATGTTGTTATCTTTTCACTTGTTTAATCGATTAATTCGCATCCATGTTATTTTGTTAAACAGGTGGCCCTATCCATTCCTTGATCTTTCATCTGCAGTTTCACCTTTGTGGTATGTACTCCCTATCATGTCCTCGGATTCTTTAAAAATGTCGTGCATGCAGAATCCTATAAATTTGGTGTATTTTTGGAGGATCGGGCACATGTACCATGACATTTTTGGAGAGTCCGAGTAGCATAGACAAAAAGTCCTGAATTTGTTTTGGCAAGTAAACTGGAAGATTTACTATGAACTATTGAATTGATATTTTTAGGTACTTGTTGGTGGCATTTATGCACATACCATGCTATGGTGTTTTTGTTTTGGTAATGAAGCTGAAACACCATTTGCTTTCGAAGTGGTTTCCTCAGTCTTATCAGTGTGCAAGATGATACAACGCGCTTCCATCCCAACCAAGTCAGGATCGGCTATATGTATCCTCGTTGTACTAAGGCCAAATAACAAATTTTTCAGCTTTCAAGACGGCTATAGCAGCTCGTGTTTTGAACACCAAACTTGGATTTTTTTGTTCTTTTTTCTGGAAGGAACGACGAAATGGAAAAAAAAAAAGTTATTTAGCAAAGTAGTTGTGAATCTTTAGAAGTTTAGGCAAAAAAAAAATAAAATACAGTGATTTAAACTTCTGGTTTGTTAGATGTACATTTTGGGGTAACTATGGAAACAGAGATTTTCTTATTTATATAACTATTCACTTGCAATGTGTACAGATGATTCCATATTAATTATAAAGAAGTGTAAACATTTCTTTCCACTTTTTTTGTTCATTTGTAATCCTGGCTCCGCTTCTGAGTCATGGGTGTTTAGACAAAAGAGAATTAGTAGTACTTTGTTATTGTAATATCTTTGTTTCAGTTTGTTATTACAATCAATCTTCACTGTATTTGGAGTAGGAAAACAGTATTGACTACAATGTGCTTTGTTAACTCAAATTGTAGAGGTTTCAACACAACACTAGTGTTTGAGATCTTTTGGTGGGGGCAATGACTAGATATACTAGAAAAAGAAACTCAATACCAGTCAGAAAAAAGTTGGTTAAAGGATGTAGAATCATTCTTTTTATATGATTATATCATGAAGATTGTCCCTTGGGACTTGGCTTTCATGTTTCAATAGGTTCAAATGGGGCCCTTTTAATCCACAAAAGGTAGCACTCTAGGTTTTTTTCCTTTGAGGACTGGATTTGACCATAGCCCTCCGTCCAGAATTATTTGTCACCAGACTCTCGTTAATGAATATCATGTCTTTCTAGTGAAGTCGAGTCATCTTTATAGGACGAGCTCAACAATCTCGGTGTTGATGTTCCAAAAATGACAGGCCAAGTCAAATTAAGATGTCAGTATACAATCGGTGCAAAAAAGATTCATATTGACAATCAACAAATAGTAACATCCTAAATCCCATTTTAAACGATTGAGTTTAACTATACTTAAATTATCGACCTATTAAACGTTCCCGAATAAATATCACTTTTTTTCCCCATAAAGTAAAGTCGTCTCGTAGGCCTAGCTTAACAATCTTGATGGAGATGTTTTTAATGGATACCACTGGCAAAATGTGCCATTAAAGGCTGATTATTAATTAATCCTTATATTATTAAAAAAAAAATCATATTTTATGACATAAATGTCTAGGGTTGGTGGCAACTACCAACAGCAAAACGTCCTTTTTTCGACAATTTGTCACCATACTTACTTAATAGAAATTAAATTCTCTATAATATTCTACCACCCTATAACCAAATCAATGAAGGAAGTTTTTTTTTTTTTAATCATATTCAGAACTGGTTGATGTAACAATCAATTTTAAGTATGATATTTAACTAGTTTCAAAATATTTATCAATTTTGATCGATATTTTAAGATTATATGAAAAGAATTGTAATTATATAGATATATATTTGAATTTCAAAAATTTTTTAATTATTATTTTTTTAAAAAAAAGTGAATAAAGCTACAACCAGTCACGTGGTCAATTTGATCTTATTTTGTCCAATAAAAAGTAATTGTTTGGTCAGAAAGATAGAAACCCTAATTTATGAATCTGGGCCCTTGGCAATTTTGAAAAATATAGAGTTAATTTATCTATTTATATCCACTTTCTCTTTTTACTAAGAATTAATAAGTCAAATAAATATCTATTTTCCATAAATAAAACGACGTAAAATAGGCAATATCATATAATTACTATTTAGTTTATTACCTTTTAAGCCGTCTATTTTATTATATACGAATAAATAAAGATGGATACTGATGATAGATAATAAATAAAAAAAATAGTTCTGCCCCCCTTTTGGGTTTCTTTTTTAATTTCTTACTCTAATATCTATATTGATTATCAATTAAATTTGATTTATTTTGTCAATTTTAAATATTTATCTTAATTATCGATTATATCCAAATTCACACAAAAAAGTTTTATATAAAAAGATGAAACACTTCTAAATAAATATAACACTAAATCAAATAGATTTAAATCAAAAGATAATAAAAATACTCTTAACAAAAATGATTCCGTACCAAAATGAGTCGAACTAGATCATAAAATATGACGGAATAACATATTTTTTATTTCCATATATGATTGTTATTCCTTCTGTTACCCTTTGAGCAAACTTGTTTCCCCATATTTATTGCACCCAAAAATCCCTTCTTCAGCTTCACTTCATTAAATTGGGTAACTGAATCATCTGTTTTATTCTTCCTCTGCCATGGCTCTGTTTCAGTGTCGAATTCCATTTTCAGCGGTATCTCCATCTGTTTCTCCAAGAATTGAATTTACAAAATTGTTTCTTGGAAATAGTAGTAACCCATTTGTTAAAACTACCCAAAAGAAGTTTTCATCTCTTTGCTATGCTTTGAAAAATTCCAATAAGCATTCATCCATATCCACATTTAGTGAGGTAATATAAGGTTTGACTTTTTTGGATTGTTGACCACAATTGTGAATTGGGTTTTTGTTATTTGGATTAAAGATTTGTTCTTTTTTGTTGTGGGTGTGTTTTATTTTTGATTTGGTTTCAGTTGATTGAGGCTTTAATTAGTGGGAAAGATTTGACGGAATCTGAATCAGAAGATTCTCTTGATTTCTTGTTGGATGGTGCTGATGAAGCTTTGATTAGTGCTTTTCTTGTTCTTTTGAGAGCTAAAGGAGAAACCTTTGAAGAAGTAAGTTGAGCTTCCTTCAACTATTCACCCTGTTTCGAATTGACTTATTTTAGTTGTTTTTCTAAGTACTTCTATCGAATTTGGGTAAAGATTAAACACTTGTTTTAATACTAAAATAAGCTAAAAGGTATAAGTGCATCCAATAAGACTCAGAGTAAAGGTTTATGTATACTCTTGAAGCATAATGTGGGTGAATGAATATTTTACCTTGTTCATTAATATTTGTAGTCTCTCATGGTTGTGAGAGAAAAGTGGCTCTTCTGCGCATTGATGAAAAAAAATCAGAAAAGTCTATGTTTTTTGAAGCTAGAGCTCATAATTCAAAATATAATGTAAATGTTCCGCTTTGATATACAATCCTTCGCGTCAGGGGGCATGATTGTCTGTGTAGGTATCTGGTTTCACCATAGCTAGAACGTGTTAATTTTCTCCTTCATTATTGAGAGCTGGGAATCAACCATGATATTGTCACTATTGTCTGATCCGCTTAGCCTCATCGAGCTAATAATGATTGTTAGGTAGTGGGATTGGCAAGGGCAATGATAAAGCATTGCAGACAAGTTGAAGGTTTAGGTGACGCAGTTGATATTGTTGGGACAGGAGGGGATGGAGCAAACACGGTGAATATCTCAACAGGTGCCTCAATTCTTGCTGCAGCTTGTGGTGCAAAAGTAGCCAAGGTTGACAGAGTTATTCCTTCTCAATGCATATTTCATTTCATTGTAAAATTGAGTATTTTTAAGGCTGAAAGTTTGTGGGATTGAATTGTAGCAAGGGAATAGATCCAGTTCATCCGCTTGTGGGAGCGCAGATGTATTGGAAGAACTAGGTGTTGCCATTGAGCTGGACCCTGAGGTTAGTGACATTGCTCTTATTGGCTGAAAAGTACTGTACAATTGAGGACATTCACCATCATATTGTAGTTCTAAAAATCAAAGGTTTAAAAATGAAGTTTATGCTGTTGTTTATATAGTTAGCTGCTTTATAAGAAGAAAGACTGGTTGTGACATTCATCAAATCAATTATTAAACTAATTTAATGAGTCATCAAGTGACCACGTATGTAATGATAAGTAATTTATTAAAGAAAAGCACCCTTTAGAATAGGCGATACGCTAAATCCCACCCATTGTCCAATCCATTTGTACTTGATGATAGCCCTTAAAGCTACTGCTGTCCTTTTCTTGATACTAACTTGTCCACTGTAAGAATTTCCCAAGTAGTATGATGGCAATAGCTGGATGTGTTTCCTTTCATTTGTGCTTATTCTAGATCTAAGTTGTCTGCATCATGTGCTCATTTTATTTGCTCTTGGTAACTGCCACCAAGAGACAACAAAGATATGTTATATGTTCTCTGTCTTTTGGGACAATGGTTAATGGTGTTAAGAGCTAGTTTCTATAATAAATGGTGTTAAGAGTATTACTGAAAAATGCATGATACTTTAAGGATAACTGGCATTATATATGATTTCAACTTGGTTGATCCTGATGTATCTCGTTATTACTGGGATCAGGGGGTGAAAGAGTGTGTAAATCAAGCTGGAATTGGTTTCATGATGTCTCCGATCTACCATCCGGCAATGAAGATCGTCAGACCTATCAGAAAAAAGCTGAAAGTAAAGACGGTGTTCAACATCTTGGGACCTATGTTGAACCCAGCAAGAGTGCCGTTTGCTGTAGTAGGAGTTTACAAAGAAGACCTGGTATATTTTTGACTTTAATTACAGTAAGACCACCTGTACTATGAATGTAGCTTTAAGAATCTTGTAAACATAACTTATGTGCTAATCTTTCTGGTTTTATCTCTGTTCTTCCCTTTGGGTCATAGCTTCTTGACCCGTTTCAAATTTATTCTTCGTATTTTTTACATTCATTTAGTGAACGAAGCAATCTCTTGTTATAGGTCCATAAAATGGCTAAAGCATTGCAAAGATTTGGCATGAAAAGAGCATTGGTTGTTCACTCAGAAGGCCTAGATGAGATGAGTCCTCTTGGTATGGTCCCCTTTCAGAATCTATTGTGTTTGGTAATTTCATGGCTCTTTTTTGTTTTTGACTTGCTTGTCTATTTGTTTTTTAAAAAAATGTGAGTAACTAGATATAGACATTTCCATCATATTATGTGTGGCAATTTATTTTGCAGGCCCTGGATTAGTCCTTGACGTCACACCAGATAATATTGAGAAGTTCTCCTTTGATCCATGTAAGTAACCTCTAAATCTCAGGACAGTTAAAACTTTTCTTATTCTCATAAATTTCTTTCTTTTTTGGTGCAAGACTTTTTTTTTTTTTTTGATCTTATTGCTTTGCACAGATAAACAATGAATGCCACTTTAAATATGCATTGCAGAACTCTGCAAGTAAAGAATGGTGCATTATGATTGATGTCTTTTTCACCAGCATTTAACATTGTCTCTTTAAAAGTTAGTCTGACACGTAAATCCTTCAATAGTGGACTTTGGCATCCCTCGTTGCACTCTTGAAAGCCTACGAGGTGGAGGTCCAGAGTACAATGCCGAGATGCTCAGACGTGTGCTGTCAGGAGAAAAAGGGTCAATTGCTGATGCATTTGTAAGTTTCTTCCTGAGCTTGTTACCAAATGTGTGAATCCTCATTAAAGAAATAGACATAACTTCTTTTCGTTTTCAACAACTTCCTTTCACCTTGAAAGTTCTTACATCATCTCTATCAAATAAATCCACAGGCACTAAATGCATCAGCTGCTCTCCTGGTAAGTGGACGCGTTGATAATCTGGCTGAAGGAGTGGAATTAGCTCGCGAGACACTACTCTCTGGCAAAGCGGTGAAGACACTTGATCTATGGATAGAAGTTTCCAATGTAAGAAGAAATTCTCAGTAAGTTCAGGGTAGAAACTCCATCACTTCAACTCATGCTTATGTCTTTGCTTACTTGCAGACGGTGAAGGAAGCAGTCTGCATGAACTGATGGAATACGCCAAGCTGACCACGTTATATTCTCGGGGCTCAACAGCTTTCCCTGCTCTGAGTAATGGTTAAAAGATTCAAAATCAAAGAAAAAGACTGGATAACACAACTCAACTTGCAATTTTGGTTTGTAAAAGGATTAGAATAAAGGGTTGAAAGAGAACAAAAAATAAATGTAAACTTTGGCTTGTGAAATTTGCAAGGCAACTGTAGATTTCTGTGGAAAGCATTGTTTGTAATACTTACTTGTGACGATAACCAAGCAAAGCAAGTGGCTCCTTGTTAGTTGTTGGCCATTAAATTTTTTTTTTATCATTTCTGAAATGACTATAAATGGCTTTGTAGTTATGTATTATTTTTTGTATAAATTTCCCTACCAACCAAAATGCAAAGACATTAACACCCGAGTAGATAAGTTTTAACTCTAACTTTAAAAGCTAGCTTGCTCAAGAATAAAATCGACAACGATTTAAAACTACACTCTCCAATTATTGGTCCGACAATCTTAAAATAGAATAGAGGGTATTGACATACAGTAAATATTTTTTCAAGTAATTTATTGATTTTTTAGATTACGATTCAAACTCCAAAGATGACATACTAAGTTGATAAATTTGAATAAATATTAGATCTGAGTTTAACGTTATCTCGAATTATAATATTTTAAGGCCACTATTTGCAGAATTTATGAAATGTAAAATGGTGGATTGTTACACCCGGCGTGTATATAATGTATCAGCGACTGAAAAACCTTTGGTTAATCACAGAAAAAGACAAAAAACAGTTATTGCACAAACTCTTTTTTCCCGGGAAACATCGAGTGGATAACAAGAAAAAAAATATATACACTTGAACTTCAATAGCCCAAATAGAAATCAAGAAAACACATTTATACAAGCTTCTTGTCTCCAAAATTCATATCTTTTAAGTGATAGAAATCATAAAGTTCTGAGAAAGTTCAAATCTTGGGAGTGTTGGTTTAATTTCTTGAGTGAGGAGTTATGACTTTTGGGTCTGAATGGAAGTTCTCTCAAGTCTTTGGTGAACAAAATCCCCATGAGGATGTACAAGATTGTAACTTTCTTTCACTTTTCTTTATAGTTAAATCTTTACGTGAATGAATTTCAGTAATATACTGTTTGATTTGTATTTTTTCCCCCTTCTTTTGGGGTAGGGTAAGGGTAGGGGTGGAAGTATGTCAAATCTGTTGTACTGCTGCTTATGTATGGTTTCCTTCCTTTAGTTTTCAGCTTCTTTAATTTGGTTTCGTATGGAATGTGTAACTCTTAACTCTCTTGTGTGGTTTGCGAACTATGGCATAAGAGTAGGGACCAAAGGTAGCAGTTGCAGGTTCCCTCTTCATAAAAAAAAAAAAAAGATTAGACTTTAGATGCTGTAGAACTAACTATACATGAAATCTTGTAGCCTAATAGGGTAAACATGTCTGATTCAATACAGGATTATTTAGAAATTTGAGGTGCGGGTTCAATTCTGGTAGATGAAACTTTAGAGCTGATCGCAACTAGGTTAGATGGAGGCTCAATAGAGGTAGTAGTAGTTGTTGTTAATTGTGGATGGAAGGATAGTGCTTGAATTGGTACATTTAATATTCTATGGAGATGAGAGACTGGTTGATGCTAGCAGAAACAATCCTTTAGCATTTTCTGCATGCTTTTTTAGTATTACATATAACAGGGAACCTTGGTGTGACTGGTAAAGTTATTGCCCAGGCAGAGAATGTGAGAAGAATAAATAGTATAGAGTCGAAAAAAGAAGAAGAGGAAAACTGTTCACAAACTAATCCTTATAATTGGCTCATCATATATGTGGAAGGGGAAGAACTGGAACGGACTTTTGTATCCTTTTAATGAGAAGGGGATAACGCATGGTATGGGGATTGTTAGATAACAGAAAGTTGGGATGAGTTGTTGAAGCCAATACTGTTTATATAATAGAATATACTTCTTTTTTGAGCATGTTGGACCACATCATCATACGTTTTATTCTTTATCGGATAATAGATCTATCTTGAAAATCTCATATGCACGGGAGAAAGATAATTGAGTTGTCTGTGAGCTTTTGGTACCTTTGCTGGTGATTGCTGATTTGTACTTCTATAATATTTTCGGCATTTCAGTTATCTAAAAATGAAAACAGCAAAGAGATATCTAGTTCTTCTTTCCTTATTTTACCCTCTCGCCTGAAACAAAAGAGAGGAATTATGAACCAAAGAAATACAAGGAACAAGGAACACATTAAAAAAAACATTTTATGTTAGGTGATATTATCTCTGCAATGGAGTTTGACAAGAATGGTGATAATCTGGCTGTTGGAGATCAAGCTGGACGTGTCATGATTTTTGAGCGGCATGCTGGTAAAGAAGTGCGGACAAAATTTTCAGAAATATCATTTTTGTCATATCCAAATTTTGCATCGCATGTAACCTGTTCACCACTATGTTCTTTTAGGATCTCTTTGAGTGCAGTTCTCGAAGTGACTCTGGTCAGTTCAACCTTCCACAAAAGCAGCATCCTGAATTTGAGTATAAGACAGAATTCCAGAGTCATGAATCTGAGGTATGATTAGATAATTATTTTATCTACTTTCGGGTATACATCTGTTAGGCTGCTTAAAATTCTGCATGTATAGCTGATCTTTATGAACTATGGATGCTGTTCATGTTGCATTTTCTTCAGTTTGATTATTTGAAGAGTGTGGAAATTGAAGAGAAGATTAATAAAATCAGATGGTGTACGAAACTCAACAGATCGTTATTTCTTCTTACAGCAAACGACAGGACGATAAAACTTTGGAAGGTATGAAATCCCTGTGGCATTCGTGAAACTTCAGACAATGTCAAATTGAAGAAACAGATGATTGTCTTATAAGTTTCTGGAAGTTTGGATTAGGCCTTTAGGGGATTAACTTATCTGTTTGTTATGATATGTGATTTAGTACTACAATGTACCCTGAGAAATCAATTGTTTGCCTTTACATGGTTCCTCTTTACATAACTATGTCTGAATAAATCAGGTGATGAAAAGATAAGAACTGTGTTCTATGGATAACCTCAGGTTTCTCTGGTTGTTCTCTTGCTGGCTAAGAGCTCCTTCAGAATGATACTAGACAAATACTGCTTACATGAGCTTTTTTATATTTCAGCAGCTACTACATTTCCATATTTACTCAAAGATTGAGCATGCAAAATGGACTATCCTTTATATGTGTGTGTGTGTGTGTGTGTGTCTGGTGCCACTCCAAATAGAAGGTTCTGTTCTGGGTGCCTTTTCCTGTATCATCAAAATATTGATAACTAGAAATGCATGTGGTACTATCATTTTTTTTCTTCTAAAGTATCTCATACTTAGATACTCTTCTGACGTTCACCTAACACCAAAACTAAAAACAAGGGGAAAATAAAGGAGGAATTCTCTGTGATGAAATTCAAGTATTAGCTATTGCCTGTTAAACGTCTGTCCAAAATGGAATTTGTCTGTTCATTAAGAAAAAAGGCTGACTCCATGAGGTAGTGGTAAGGTCTGCATACACACTATCCTCCCTAGACCCCACTTTGTGGTATATCGTTGTATCAAGAGAAAAGGCTGGATGGGTGTCCTTTCTGGATAAATTTTGATAGACTTTTCAGTTCCCGTTACTGTGTGTTTACTAAGTTGTACATATCAATGTACTATTTTCTTAATTTATTTCTTTTACAGATCAAGGAACAGAAAGTAAAGAAAGTTAAACAAATGGACATCAATTCATCTGTGACTTCAGAGAATTCTCTTTTAGCTGATAGAAGTTACATGAGTGGACAAAGTGAATCATCTCATGTTAATGGTTACAGTCTAGAATGGACTAACAAAATGAACGGCACATCATCATCACATGTATGACATGGAGAGTGTAAATTTTTCTACTTGTTTCCTAAATATTCTTGCAGTTTTATTAAATTCACCTCTCCTAAACTCTATGCATTTGACATATTCTCATAGCTTGTAATTCTGGCCTCCACTATATGTAGCTTGCAGATATCATAAATGTAGATTATACAAGATCCCGAAAAGTATATGCAAATGCTCATGATTTCAACATCAATTCCATCTCAAACAATAGGTATTCTTGTGTTCTTGCAAATATTATGAATTTCAAACTTGCTCACTTGAAATGAAATTTGACCAGACCTCTGATTGAGCTTGATCGATCAGCTCAGATTATCCTTTATCAGTTATCAGTACCAGAAAGACTCAACTGTATTGAAGTTGTTTACCAGATGAAATGTCAGGCATTAGATAATACTCTGGTTTTAATACTTTTACAGCGATGGTGAGACATTCCTCTCTGGGGATGACCTTAGGATAAACGTATGGAACCTTGAGGTTAGAGATCAGTGTTTCAATATCATTGATATGAAGCCAAAAGATATGGAAGATCTTACAGGTAATTGTGGATCTCTTCTCAAAGCATTTACATGCTTTAACCTGCTGGATCTTATCTCATGCACCGGTGCTACTCTCCGTTAACCCAATTTGAAGTTTCAAGTTTATAATCTCTGAAAGTTTGGAGATGTAATTTGTGAATATTACCTGCTAGATATAATGACAGAGCACTTCAAGAACTTATAGAAGGCAAAATATGGTTTCAGGTAGTAGCTTTAGGTCTCATAGGTAACAATATAACGGTATGTGTAGATTGTACATCTATGTATCTGAATACTACATAAGCCTCGCGTATTGAGTATGTACCATCGTAAGTTATCTACACTCTACTGTTAAAACTCATGCTAGGGATTACTTTTGTGAGGTGGCGGGTCTAGGTTTCTTTCTCAAAATGGTTTCTGGAGTAAGCAATCAAAGGTTGCTTTCGGTTTTATCATCAAATTCCAAAAATGCATGCGGAAAATCAAAGCAAGAATGTTGTTGCATCTAAGGGATCATTAGCAGTGATTTAGAAAAAGCATTAAAACAAAAAAGAACCCCGCCCCTGCACCCTGAGAAAGCCGTTTTTCCTTATTCTTTAAGTGCATTCATTTATCATTCTGACATCTTGTTCTCCTCTGATATAAGGAGAATGCCTCCTATCATATCCAAGCAAGAAAAATAGAATAGAATAAAAGAAAGAAAGAAACTCTTATGAACGTTTGAAAGGAATCAGAAACCGCCCTTACTCCTCCCCCTGAAAGGAACTTGACCAGTAAATTTGAAATGATGATCTACTTTATGACATGGATCAAATGATGCCATTAGGTAATGTAGTTCCATCACCATATCCTTCTATTCTGCATCAAAAGTTTGACCAGACTGCCACCTGATAAA